ATTCTTTCACTGTTTTCTTTCCGTTGCGGAGTGCTTGACAAGAGTGATAAACCGTTGTCCAAAGGGACGTAGTGCAATGAAGAAACAAAACAACACGGAGAAACACAATAGGGCAACGGAAGAGAGAGAGGGTGTTCCAACTGGGGGCTTGAAACATCAGGGCGCGGCATAATTCGTGAGCTCACAGGTTGACGAAAGGATGTTGTGTTTTGCAGGTTGACTAGTATTGTGGGACAAGTATCACTAATTTTGATGAAACATCCTTCAAACTTTATTTTCATGCACGATTTTCGCTTCCATAAGAGCGGGAACAAGCATCATCGCTTTTATGAAATTCTCCATTCATCTAGTCAATCAGACATTTGGGAAACACTCGGTCCCGGTTTAGCTCGGAGTCCGTTGGTAGCGCATATACTGCGATATATTCAACTTTGGAACCACAGACCTCTGACATGAAACGCGTGTCACTAATACTGTAGTAGCCTTCGATTCACAAGTTTGACCAGCGAGACAGCGGGAATTTTCTTTTTCTTCTCAATGAACACTAACGGGAGCCTTCAAATGAAAAGTGAGGCATAGATCTAGCGCGGTGTGTTCGAAACATCCGTCTGGGAGCTTTAACAGAGCAGAATCCGAACTTTACGTTTAGTTCACTGATACGCTGATCATCGATCAGCCGTTCCTGATTCACCCTAATTCTTGTGCACCTGATAAGGTAGGCGGAATGTGGATGGGATAGTACAATAGTGACTAGATAAGCACCAATTTCGGCAGGTGACAGGGATGTGTTGAAGTACGAAAGTTTTCCCATCATTAGTAGGAAGCTCTAAGTTTACCGAACGGAGTTTCGACAAGCGAACTGCGAATCTCTGTATTAGCTACCTTTATATATATGTATATATATATATTGTTGTTGTTGTTGAGTTGAGCAGGGTCCGTGGCCCGCAACAAACTCTCAAAGATGGGTTGTGCTATATCGTGTAAATGGAAAATGAAAAACGGTCTGATCAGCGAAGTGGGTAGCACGCTTGCGTTCTGACCATGAAGTCCCGAGTTCGATCCCCAGTCGGGCCGATGGGTTCGCACTGCTGATGAGACCCAACCAAGTCGAAACAGCTGTCCAGTGCTTCCGAGCTTTTCAGTTCACGCTTCATTTGCTATATACACGACGAATTGCCATTTGATATATATATATATCAAATAAGGCGTCCAAATAACCATGGGTTGAAAGCGAAATAAGGAGACATGAAAGGGAAAAAAGAAAAACATTCAGCTTCAAGAATAACAAGTTTTGATTGCTTACTGCACGCCATTCAGACTTTTTTGTCTGTTTTACTTTTGGGATCGCACTCAAGAAAGGGTGCGTTCACGCCACTGACTTCGGTCGGATGCCATATTCCGCAGTGTCTCCAGCCCGGCGGAAGCCAAATCCGGGCGCAAACTATTCAACCCTCTACACCTGCCCATCTCGCTATTTCTTCCAGCCCGAAATAATCTCTGCCAATAGCACACGGTATGACAGACGTTGTTCAGGCATTCATAGAAAGTGCCCTAGACACCTAAGACGATGCAGCTAAATGGTTTTGCTCAATGGAAGACTATCTAACCCTAACACGCCGTTTGACCTCATCGTTATTCACGCGATGCTCTCACCGTACACGGGCGATGCTGCGCATACGAAGGTTGTCGAAGACGGACAGTCGCTGGACACGATCTGCTCGGAGATGCCAGGTTACTCAGCCAAGGAGCAACACTGCGCCTACCGTTGCGAAATATACACGCCCTTTCAGTGAAAGGGATATGTCGCGACGGCGCCAGAGATGCCACAGATTAGCAAAAGGCAATTTAGCCTTGATTATACGTTGAGAGATCACCTCACCCACTCCTCCGAAAGCCGTTATGCAACTAACGAGATAGACAAAGCTTTTGAGTACTATCCGAGTGTGGTTACCCAACGAAAGTGCCCATCTTGCAACAACACCTTGCGTTTCGAGGGTGCAAAGGACATGCCATCCACCATAATTCGATCAGATGTAGCTTCTAAACCGACAATTATTATGATAACAGAAATGATAAAAACAGATGATTGCATAACACGCACCCATACATCATGGAACGCTTTTCTTGTTTTATGAAGATTATTGTACCATGATTTGTTTTGCACATGGTCTGGCATCAAACCTGTGTGAAATATATATTCATACATCAGGTGTCTCTTGTTCATTGTGAAATGTTCATTAAAACCAGACGGAAAAGCTATAAAATTAACAAGGGAGTGAAAATGAGGAGCAGAAAATGCGCACACCAACACACATCGAGGATGAACCCTATTGCGGCCCCTTATGTTCACTACTTACACTTCAGCCACATCAATCGGACCCGTGCTCATCCGATTGGAAAATCGTCCAGTTCGATCAACTCCGGCGGACTGGTATCGATTGCCTGTGGTAGACGACCCGGTCGGACCACTGATACGCGTATGTGTTCGTCCGGGTGAAGGTTGAGTTGTATTACGCGTGCGTAGAATCGGTTGAGTTGCACCCGAATCTGCACCTGCAACTGCGCTCCCAGTTCCATTCTCAGCTGTATCCGGTCCATTCACTTTACTAGATATGTCAGATCGAGAATCCGTGGCGGAGGATGTGTTTGGATCATTGGGAAGTTGAGAATTCGAACCGGGTGGATGATCTAACGGTCCAGTTGGGACATCTTCATCCAAAGGTTGAGTGATACTGGGAGGGAGTGTGAGGTTGAGTAAATTGCGTTTGGAACGGCCACCAGACAATCTGGACATGGCCTTAGTACACAAAGCTGCAACAGAGAGAGAGAGAGAAAATGACACGTAAATGATGATGGGAATAATGACAAAACCCTGTTGTATCTCATTAGACTGGTGAAATGTTGCGAACTAATGAGTGTGACCGAAAGGTACTCACCAAAGTTAGTATAGTAGAAAGGACAAACAGCACAGCCATGCCCCAGCCGTGTAGTTGAAAATTAATTTCCCATGTGTTTTCTTACACATTATCCCATACTCGTAACNTTACTCACCCGACCGTTCCACTAGGTGGTGCTCATACATTGACAAAAACCGATAGATCCTCTGTACATGATCATGTCATCATAGTTACACCTTCGATGCACAGATAGGTATCGATTTGATCGATAACCGTAGCGGACCAACAGCCAGCGGTTAGTTACGGATGATGTAGCCGCTCAACGTGTTTATTTAGTTCACTGTTTTTTATAAAGATTATTGTACCATGATTTGTTTGGCACACAGTTTGGCCTCAGACGTGTGATATATATATATATATATATATATATATATATATATAT